ACTCACAATCTATTTCGTTCCCAAAAACACACAAGTCCAAGTACATCTCTTCTATTGGAATTTTAATGATGCGCGAAATGTTAATTTTTCATCTTGATCGCTGCGAGTTCCGACAGTCTCCATTCCCAGCCACTTAATGAGCCGGCAGCTGAGTCATCCGCCCTGGCTTTCAATTAACGTTGATCACCTCAATTGAGGCACGTCGCTGTTGCATGCACTGGCAAAAAAGCACAAGCATTACCAGTGAAACAAATAACAAAACCATAAACCTATGAGCAAACCAGGTATCTTGTTTCTTCCAGTGCATGATAGTCCCCTTTTTATGTCGGCCAATTAAGGAATCGCCGCTCAACCTCCTCCAACTTCAACGGCGGCAGTTGGCCCGAGATGTGGGCGCATTCCTCCTTCCTGGGCCGAGTGCATTTGGCCCCGAGTTGGCCATATAATTCCTGCTAATTGAACCGAATGGCTAGAGCAAATATTAAGTTACACCCCGAGGCGGTGAGGTGAAGAAGAACAAACATTACTCTCGTACACCAGCAGCTTTCGAGGGTCGCGTGTTTAATAATAATTTCTTTGGAATATGTTTATGGTAAGCCGTGGTCTAATTAAAATCAATTGCCTTAATTGAAAGTACAACAAAGCCAAGGAACTCTGCTCCTCCTTCGCTGCTTCGTTCATTTTTTTCCGCACTATCAATACATGAAGGTAGCAATTTGATCGCCGGCATTATTTATGGGTCCGCCCGAAAATTCGTTGGAGCGTGTGGAAGAGACTCCCCATAAATCAGCATCACTCGGGTCTTCAAATTGGCATAAATCTAGTGGTGGCCGATACACTGAAGCACTCTATATATGGCTAGCATGTTAATTTTTCAAAATGCCGCGACAGTTTCTGCTGGTAATTGCGAACTTGGCAAGTGCCATATATTATATTATTTGGCCAAAACACTTGATATATGACCGGGCCAATGATAAATCTCAGACGATACTTGGCTGCTAGCTCTGTAGCTAGAGAACCCACACTTTGAGCCCGATTTCCTTTTGGCCGTAATGTCGCCAAATCTCTGCCTTATCTTGGCCCAAACAATTCATACAAATATCCCTGGCATTTCATATGCAATTCTGTTTATTGGCCTGCAAGCCTTTATTTCGCTGTCCTTTGCCAATTCCCTTGCATCGTAAATTATGTAAATAGTTTCGACAATACACTCCGTTGGCAGTTTAATTAGCTGGTCAAAATAAATCCAAGGACTGAGAACTATTTGTCATACTTCAGAAGGCGCTATTTGGCCAACAAGAGTATGAATCAGTGAGCATTTAAGAACTTTAGTTAGAAAACTAAAACTGAAACACCGAAAGACCTTACAAAAAAATGTGTTTGTTTATCCTTCACACTTAATATTTCATCGTGAACTTCAACCTCAATTATGAAATTAAAAGGAAAGCGCGACTCGGAGGTTCATATCTCATTTCACCAAACCCTAGTACTTTTTTGAGCCACCACCCCCTCCACAAATAAAATACCACTCACCCCATAGGCAATCTTCGTGGACAAAAACCAGTCGAACATACCTCAACTCGGGTATTTTAAAAAATGGTTCAACGCACTTACGGGTATGAGAAACGAGAATGTGCACATAATATTAAATGGGTTCACTTACGTATCGCTGTACAGGAGGGGGATAGTGGGTACGGTGATACAGTGAGCACTCGGCAACCCGCAGCATCATATGTGGAAAATGTATGACAGCAGGGCAAAAAGGAAAACAAATTTCAATTTAGCTTAAAGATTTTGCACATAAAATTTGTAACACTCAATTAGTTTAAACGACAACGAAAAATGTTGCCAGACCGAGCCATAACAACAATGAATATAGCTACCCTTGTTGCTGTCTCTTTTGCCTATTGTAGTCCCGTCTCTGTTGCTCCTTGGAAGTTTTCTAAAATCCTGGGCAAATCGCATAAATGCGACGACGTATGAATTTCGCTTAAGGGGTTATATACAGTTGTACCGCGCAAAAATATGGATTTTTATCGATTTTTTTTTGACACCATAGAAAATATTTATGAAAAATGTTTTACCGACGTTGTTTAGTACATGTTTCTGGGTACTTAATTAAATTTTTTCATAAAAAAATATTACATAACAAAAATGTTATAGCCGAATTCCCGGATCGTCTTTTTTCGATGGTGTCTTGCGGTGGACAAGATTTCTCGAAAACGGTTCATCCGAAATCCAAAATTCAAAAAAGTTTAGTTAGTATATTGTATTGTTTAGTCCGTGAACGAGGGATTTTTAAAAATTTTGATTTAAAAAAAAATGGCGACGTTTTTAACAAAAAATGTACTTTTTCAACGTATAAGATTTTCGTTTTTTGTGCTTTAAAAAAGGAGTTTTCAAAAAAATTTAAAATCCCTCGTTCACGGACTAGCTAATATCATAATAAATAAGTGGTCAAAATTTGGTGTTGATCGGATTAGTAGTTTTTTAGTAATCGTGTCCACCGCAAAGGTAATTTCCCAAAAAAAAGATTCTGAGATAATCGCGTTTAAAGTTTCAAGTTTGTTCAAGATTTATATGCAGATAGTGCGCTATAAATAGCTACAGCTTCGGTTCTAATGCTCCGATCGTTATGAATTTTTGTGAGAGTATTCCCAATAAAATATACTTAAAGAATATGCAATAAAAAAAAAACCGATTTTTTCATATATCACAACTGTATATAACCCCTTAATATGATTAGTGAGCGGTTGTTCTTGCCTCATCCTCCATTTTATCCATTATATGTGAGGTACTACTACAAGTGCATTAATGGAGTGAAGAGGGTGGAAGCTGAGGGACATAAAGATATTAACGCTGCATACTTACGGGCGCTGTGGCATAAATCAACCAAGAAAATCCTTATTATGAGCTGGAAAAATGAAATGGGGAATTTAGAATATAAACCTTAGCATCTATTTAAATTTTAGTCAAACAAAAATTCGAATAAAAACGTATTTTTCCATTAAACTTAGTATATCTCCTATAAAAAGGTGGTTGATTCTCTGAACAGCCTCGAAATCAATTTAATTTTGCTAATGTTGTGTAATACGGAAATCGTTTACGCTTCCATGACATTCAAGTGGGATTCTCGTGATTGTACCCCGACCCAGAACGATTAGAAACAAATGCTCTATTCGAAACTGCTTACCAAACTGCTAAACAGGAGGCATCGGCGGCAAGGGTGGTAATGGTGGTGCAATGCCTCCCACTGGACACCACTAACCGCTCAGCAATCCCAGCTGGTCGAGGTGGGTCAGTAGTAGTCAGTCAATCACTAGGACAAAATCTTTATTAATTCTGATCGATGAGCTTCGGTTGTGGCTCTCTGCACTGGCTGCAATCAAATGATTGAGCGCTTACAACAAAAGCACTGGATCTCCAGTGCGAGCTGGCCAAGTCGCACTTTTGGCTCATACAAATTCGACAGCTGAAAGCATTTCCGTTTCCGTTTGCTTGTCTCTGTTTGTCCATACATCTCCCTCAGAGCTTTGGCCCTTTGTTTTCCATTCGATTCCCCTATAGTCCACCTCTACTACATGCAGACTACTGTCCATCGATGATGCAATGAAGCGCGTTTATTTGTTGCTCGTAATTTATTTACTGCCCAGCTCCTATTCGAATGGCAGCATTCAAACGTCTCCACTGTGTGCCCAGCAAGTTGTTAGTTAAATATTGCCCCAAGTGGGTAACTCTTCTTTTCGAAACACTTGAAAAAAGTGTGCCCTTGTAGGTTATTTGCAAGATTATATTTAAGATAGAAGAGGTATATGATATTAAAGACTTAAATCAACTTAAGGGATATCATAAATACTGATAAATATTTAAGCTAAATATGTAAATATTATTTTATAAATTATACCTTTTTTTGCCAGTGCATTACTGCCTGAAAGTGATAAATTAATCGCTGCACTTCAGTTTTTAATTCCGTGTTGCTGGCGATTTATCTTGGGCTCGATGCGTTGAGTCGTGTGTTTTAGTGGAAAAAGGCTTTCCGGCTCCATGGAGGAACTAGGAAGGATTCCCTAGTTGTGGCTAAAATACAGTGATCTCCCAATCTTGATAACCTTTATGGCCATGTGGCCCCTTCCTCCAGTGGCACTGTTTAAAATGATGTATGGCACAAATTTTGACAAATGTACAAAAATGAGTCATGAGTTCGCGAGACAAAAACAAAGATTGTTGCTGGCTGGTTGTTGGTGTTGCCGCTGCTGTTGCTCTTGCCCCATGTTGCTGCTGCTTGGCTGCACTATTTACTGTTGACTTTTTCATGTGCTGGCTGTTTCGTGCTTTTGTTGCTGTTTTATCCATAAAACAAACACAAACTGGCAGCGAAGATGGAGCCGCTTCTGCTTACACATGTTTCTCCCTGACTGCAAAAATGGTCTGCGAGGAGGGGCAAACAGGCGGACAGGCGCCGTAATTAATCATTTATGGTTTACCTTAACTCGGAGTTGGATTTGGCATAAAACTGGGACTTGTTCATAAACAAAGGGGTTTCTTTAGGTTTATGGCATAAAGTAACTAATTATATAAAGTATAAAACAGATTTAAAGGAGAATTTATAAACTTTTTAAAATTTGTTTTGCCGGTATACCAAAAGCCTGTTACACACGTTAGTTAACCAATTTCTGGATTTCAGTGCTTCAGCATTTTGACAAAAGCTAAGTGTCATAAAACAAAGTATCATGTAGGTCCAGGCTAGGTAGGTTTGTGGAATTTCAGGTGACTTTTGATTAAGCAAAAAGCTCCAACTTAGTCCCACTTCTCGTGAAAAATTTAAGAAGCCGGTGTTATGCAATAGTTTTGTAAACATTACTTCCTTTCCTAACCAATCCTTTCGAAGGTTCCAGGGCTCCAGCAGTTTCCAATTTTATGACAAAAGCTATGTGCCTCAAAACAGAATGCATCCCTAGTGAAACAAACCTAAAAACCAAACATCTAGTAGCTTTCAAAATAGTGTCAGTGGATTGTCAGGTGTCTAGTGGTTGGGGAACAGGCTCCAACTCAGTCCCACGTCTCGCGTAGACCTATTAACAGGGTCTGGGATATCGAGCGCCTGACTTTTCGTTTAGCGTGTGTGGTGTCGTGTGTCGGTTGAACTTTCGGTACGGTTACGGCCCCTACAGATCGATTAGGTAAACGTTTCTTTATACAAGACATTATATATATTTTTTTCATTAGTCATTAGAGTTAGGTTCGCGACTTTGGAATTTGAATTCGGATTTGTAATTTTTGGCACAGAAAATCTAAAACCGATAAACGGACATCGCATATAGGACACCGCAATTATCGGGCTCGATAACCATGGCCAGCCGCTCGAACCAGCGTGACCGCGAGTTCAACCGTGACGCCGAGCGTGACAACCGTGATAATCGGGACTATAATAACCGTGATCGTGGCGGCCACGACAATCGAGACAGTCGGGACAATCGCGGTGGTAATCAGCGAGATTTCCGCGACTTTCGCAATCGGGACAATCGAGACAACCGGGACCGTGACCGTCAGCGTCAGGTGCCCACGGAACCGCCGTTCATCGCCTATGTCGGCAACCTCCCCAAGGGCCTTGTTCAGGGCGATGTCATGAAGATATTTTCGGACTTTGAGGTCAAGAACGTGCGCCTGATCAAGGACCGTGAAACCGACGAATTCAAGGGCTACGGCTATGTGGAGTTCGAGACACTGGCTCAGTTGAAGAGCGCCCTCTCCTGCAACGGTCGCATCAAGCTGGACAACTTTTCGGCACCGCTCCGCATCGACATAGCTGATCATCGTCGGCAGAACACGGGCTCCAGTGCTGGAGGCGGGGGCGGAGGACCTGGCTCCCAGGCTCAGAGCGAGGGCCGTGGAGGTGGAGGAGGCGGTGGCGGCGGAGGTGGTGCCGGAAACTACTATCAAAGACGCAACTATCGCCGAGACGACAGCGTGGGCTCACATCAGTATCGCCGCCGGGACAACATGCGCAGCAACAGCAGCCATCAAATGTCCAACAGCAGCCCCACCCAAAGCACCATGTCGATTGGCTACAACCGCAACATGCGCGGCAACTTCAACAACCGTGGAGGAGGAGGCGGCGGCAACGGCAATGGCGGTGGAAATAGCGGAGGAGGCGGCAACGGCGGGAGCCGCTATCAACAACGCAACAACAGCTCTGGCTACGACACCCGTGGCGGAGAGGGGCCGCCAGGAGGCTTTCAGCGTAACCGCAACTTTAATTTCAATCGGTAGGCTGAATGGTTATTCACGAATTCTATAACTAATATCTTAATATTGTATAGCTTTGACAACAATGGCGGTCCGGGCGGATCAGGCGGAGGTGGCGGTGGTGGCGGAGGCCGCGGGCCGCAGCGGAATTACGGCGGTAACGTCGGTGGAAATGGCATCGGAACCGGCAACTACACCAACTTTGTGCAGAACCGGAACCGCGATCGCCGTGGTCACTACAATCCGAACAATGGTGGCATCTCCGGATACGGAAACAACAGCAGCAATGGCAACGGCAACGGTCCCTATGGCGGCGGCAACCGGGATAACAAGAGTCCTAGTCGAGGGGCGGAATCAGGATCAGGAGGGGCGGTGACGGGGGAATCGGCATCAGGAGTAGGACCAACTTCGACCAACCAATTCGGGCCACTTGATGACGATGATCGCCCGAAATTGTTTCTGAAGCCTCGAACCGTCACCGCCCCTATCAATGCACTAGCGGAAACCAAACAGGCAGCCCTGATCTTTGGAAAAGCCAAGCCACGTGAAGACAATAGCACGCCAGTATCCTCGCCGCGCCAGGAAACCGATGAGGGGGACAAAAACCCAAGCGCCGCATCAGAAGCCTCGGAAAGCCATGAAGCCCCTCCCGAAGATGAAGGTTTGCCGGACGATGAGGTAGACGATGGTGTATCGGAACCAGAAGATCCTATCGAGGGCAGCGACCAAATTTCATAGTCCAGGCAGAAAGTGAAAACATTTAACAGAAAAATCAACCCAAAGCAGCCGGAACCGAAGTAGCAGCGCATAATACATCCCTTTTGTCGAAAACCATCATTATACGTCGTGTATCGTCATCTGTATCTATATCTATGTCTTACTTTTCCATTCTGATATCCTGCAGGAGAGGTCAAGAGGCATAGGTTCAGAATGGAGAGTTGTTACAATAAAATTTTGGAAGGCGTACACAATATTTGCAGGTTTTTTCTTGACTTTATGATATATATATCATAACATGGAATGATATGTGTCTATTAGGTTATTGGCTATAATTTTTTAAAAACCATGTCACCCGAGCCATACCGAAATTTGTAATTAGCTTTTAGCATCGAACCCAAAACCAGGATAGGTTATTTTCCTAATTAGGCTCTGATCGGCCAATGATAGGCATAAACATTCCCCACTCCCTCAGTATTTCAAACACTCTGCTTAGATTACCCATAAATTGCAAAAGTTAATGCCCAGGAAGATAACTCACCTCCGGGCAGAAGGACAATCGCGGCTACTTGGAGAGGCATTAACTAGTCAACTCGAACTAATTGAATTGAATGAGATTAAAGAATTTTACGCCGAAATGAAGACGTTGGCAGTGAACCGAGGCGGAAGCGGAATAAACCAGAAAGTAAGTACGGAATAGAGCAGAAGGCCCGGTCCGGACACTTGTCCGGGTATTTATGGGCCAAGATTTACGAGCCACAACAAGTCGCGGCGGCCACTTTCAGTTTTGTAGCGCTGGCCTCCTGAAATTGAGCCGCACATCCTGCCCCGTAAAGGCAAATTGGTTTAATTTCTTTTTAATTTTCTGCCTGGGTTTTCACTTTCCCTGTTTCCAGGAGCTCTCCAAAATGGAATTCAATTTGAAAAGTGGCCGACCCGTAAACGAAAAAGCGAAAAAAATCGGATGCGAGGTGAAATGGCCACGCCTGTTTCCATTTAAAATTTCTTCTCGATGTAAATAGAAGAACTCCCGGCCAAGAGCCAATTTACGCACGAACATTTTTTCAATTTGCGCGGCACAAACCGCAGTGACCCCCCTTAATTTTCCCTGACTCCCACCCCGCTGCACTTTGTAGAAATCCCGCGGAAAATTCACGGCATTAAAGGACTTTTCTTCTCCTTGCGTTCCATTTTTTTTTTTGTGTTCCTCTATTCTTTATTTCTTTTGAAGTTCGCCCACTGGCCGCGAGTTTTATTTGCCTTTTTTCCTGGCTTTCCATGGGGTTTTCTCGCTTTTCACGCCGGACTTTGTCCCGTTAATGTGTCACACGCACTTTATAAGCAATTGTTGTCGGCGGAGATGGCGTCTGGAAAAGTTGACGGCGCTGTCGACGCCCATGGCGCAATTATTATGATTATTAGGTACAGCTGCACTTCCCCAGCTCAGGATGAGAGGTCGAACAGGGGGTTCCTCCCGGAGGGCGGTTGCCACTTATAAACAAAAAAAGTGTAATTTACCTCAGAGTCTGGATACAGGGAGAAAAAATAGTCTTACTTTTCAAAAGAATTCCTACCAATTTTAATCATTATTTTTAAAAAATTCAAAAAAACAAGATTCTTTTTATAGTTTTCTAAAATATATATATTTTTCATTCCCCTATTTCGTTCAAGTGCATTAGAAAGTTTTGGGAACTGTTTGGTTTTTTTCTCATTGTTCATTAGGGTGGACCTGGACCTTCGTCCGATGCTGTGCAATCGCCTTGGGGGTCACGCGTTAATAATCGCGCCGAATGACTTCATAATGAAAATATTAAAGGTGTTTGTTGGCATTCTTGTTGTTGTTTGGCTCTTAGCCGCCGGCCAGGATCAGGATACGTATACGAATAAGTATACACCCAAGCCCGCAGGACTTTGCTCACACAAAAGGCGCAAAGTTTATGTTTATGTCATGCGCTCAAATAGGATAAAGGAGACGGTGGTCCTTTCCCAGGGTATAATTTAATAATAATGCTGCCTTTTTTTTCATTAAACATAAGTGCACCAGGAGCAGCGGCAAGTGGCAAGTGGCAGGTTGAAAAAATATAAGAAAAAACTTAATTGGTTTGAAAGGGAGTTGGATATTTCAAAGGAAAGTTCTAAGCAGTTTGGAATTTTCTTTTTAAATTTTAGGGGGAAAAAATAATTTTAATTTCTCAATCAAATCTACAACGAAACTATCCCTACTTAAAAATTTGTTGAATTTAAAAATATCCAAAAACATACTTTATACAAATCCCAATCTGGGTTACCCTCTTTCGTATTCAGGACCGATAGTCAATATTTGGGATATCAGCAATCAAATTGCTCTTTCAACAGACCACCCCAAGAAACAATTAAAACTGACCAGGACGAGGACCAGGACCAGGACGTCCTGGTCGGACAGGACCCCAAGTAATATTTTAAATGTAGTTCGGGCTAATTGTCATGCCATCGACGGCGTCTTATCGCACAAAGCACGAGTGGTAGCAGCTAAACAATTTGGGAAAATTTATGCAACACAAACGAGCTGAGAATGCCCCAAAGGGCACAGGACATGCAGGACACACAAAGACCCATGCCGATTCGAAGATACCCCGATAAGCAAGGACATATTAAGTCAAAAATGCTGCTATTAAAATGCTAACATATGCAAGTTTATCTGCGACTGTGAGTTGTATCGACAGGAGGAAGGATACAGGATACAGGGCACCGGAGACAGCACATAGGAGGAAAAGTTAAAGGAGGTGAGCGGAAATCTAGACATGGCCATTAATGAACGAAAGAGTCCCGGTACAGTGGAGTCCATTAAAAAGGACTAAATGGCAATTAAACATTGGAAGGCAGGGACAATTAGGCCTCCCTTTTGCGCAAGGACACTCGGCAATTAAGCCGGACCAAAGTTGGCCAATCCCTCGGCGACAGTTTTTGGGGGAGGCCCGGACTCTCCAACTCGGACTCTGGCTCGACCTTATCCTTTTCACCTATCTCTGGCGGAGGAAAACTTAAATGAGTTTGCCAGGACCCAAGGACGAAGGACACAGTCCCGCTGCGAGCATTTAAATGAAGCCACCGTCTGCCACTGCAACTTTGATTGGCTGGCCGCTTGAGTGGGCAGAAGATTTATCTTTTCTGCCTCTGATTGCACATAAATCCCTATCCCTACCACCACGTACTATGCTGATACCTCTACCCCCATAGCGTAAGAGGTCCAGGGACCTCTATGCCCATAAAAATATTTGAAATACCCGAGCAGCACATGTGAGAGTGAAATTTTAGACAGCGGCATCTTCGACATGCTCGTTTAAAATAATTTATTGCACTGACTTGACACCCATTGCCGCCGTATTCTAAGCATTTCCACCGCCGATTTCTATTCCCAATCTTCACGAGACACAAGATAAATTGCGCAAATAGAAAATGGAAAAATGTTCTAATTAAAATTATGCACCAAATATTTTGGATTTCTTTTCGCTGCCATCTATCGATGGGGTGCCAATTAAAATTGATTGAAAATTCCGGAATTCCTGGCATTCCTTCGGCACGTGGGCGCTTCCAACTTGTGCACCGAAACGGCAGCTGGCTTTCTGGCACTCAAGCAGCCTGTATCCTTTCGTCCCATATCTGGATTAGCATACTGCATTCAGATCTTTAATTGTCCCGACCATTTCGGTCGACTGCTTTTCCAAACTACCCAATAAAAAATGTTTCAATTAACACTTTTGTTGAGCAAGAGTGCAAAATAAAATGGAATGGCTTGAGGAAAATGCAGCCAGATGGCTAAATGGATGCATTTAAGTCACCCCAGCCCCTGCTAATGTAGCAAATAAAATGGTCACCTTAATGGATTTCTGTTACGCGGTCTAGCTCCGAATTGGACAGAAGGTGGCGAGGTACAAGCGCTCGCCATTCCCAATTTCTCAATCCACTAGGACCATGCTGAGCCGTTGATTGTCCTTGAAGCGCTGCCGCCGCTCGCCACTTAATCCAATAGCGCACATGTTGAGTCCTGACAATAGACTCCCTGACCCTGAGTCCGCGTACCACCCTCTGCCACCTTAAGCGGCTTTCACCTTGACGTTGCCACCACCATTAGTAGTAGCAACAAAAACAAGACCAGCTCGAGCCGCGGCAGCAACTTTTGGCTTCTTCCTGATTGCCGCACTAGCATGCACTCGAACAAATTTTTATTTTTAGGCTTAATCCTCTCTTAGTTTTTCTTAGGAAAGTTATAAGTGATAATAGTAATGAATGATAATAATATTTTTGTTTCTTATATTAACTTAAATATTTAACTCTAATTTTTTCCAGTGATCATCTAGCTCAGGCATATAAGGAAATCACTGCCAACCAAAGGGGAGGTCCTGAGGGTTGTGTGCAGGACCAACTGTTGTGAAAACTCGGAACGTGTAGTTCGCCGCTTTCCAGGACTTATCACACACACGCACGACCGCACCAACACTGAACCGCCAAAATTGGTGAACTTCTGCACCACCTTTGGGTGGCTTAGGCATCGACTGACGCATTACGATGATGTATTAGTAGTGGAATTAAAATTAAAAGCACCACAGCCGACCGAGCGGCTCAGTAAATTTGACAAGCCCGATCAGGTTGCCCCTTTAATGAAGTCTTTGTGCCGAAGCCCAGGCCTAATTAATCCCACAGAACGGGGAATGAACAAGCAACCCGAGGAGGAGAAGAACTTGGGCAACATCTGGGCTCTGTGACTGACATTAACTAAAGACCGCCGCCACTTGAGGCGAAATGTGTACAAATTTCAGCCGAATTTCCAATTGGGGCTGACAAGCGCGAACGGAGAACGGAGAATACGAAAAACACATTTGGGCAACTCGAATGAAAGATCATTCAGCTGTCAGAGTCATTAAGAAATGTGAAATCGTTTAAATGTGGTCCGCAAGACGTTTCTCAGAGGTTCCATAATACCATATTTCTTTCCCTAAACCGAGCTTTTTTCTCTGTATAAAGGGGGCTCACTTAAATGGGTTGAAGGTGGTTGGGGTTGGCGCCGAAATTGAACACATGGAGAATTG